GCTAATAGTTTGCAAGTTCATGGTAATGTTTGTTCTTCTTTATAGCAGCGAAACCTTTACGCGGTATCATGGGGAAGTAAGACATGTCGTACGCTTTGGACAATATTGCCTACGTCGGAATCCGTGCACCGTTTGGTGTGGCAGGGTTGCAGACATGAGGTGATCCGCTTCATTAACATGTATGCACCAAGGCAGGTACTTCTTCTGTGGCACCTGAGATTAATCAGGCACGTCAATCGCATCGATTCGACGCGGATACGGAAATGCCTAATATATGGAGAACTTAGTGTTGGGAAGTAAAAGTGTTAATGCGTAGTTACGTTGCCAGGACATGATCAACGTGAGCTTATTATAAAAAAGTTTAATTAGAGGTGTCGCAACTAAATTGTAGCTAGTCGGCACGAATGGCGTAAGCTTATCAAGAGGGCGATTGCTCAGGTGCACAGGAAAGTACGATTTTGTGTGGAAGAGTAACGTCTGTAGACCAAGCGACATAAGCCCATGGATTCTTGTCCGTTGACTTCAAGCGCATGGTGCTGTAGCACATGCGGTCGCGAGTGGCTGAGCCAAGTGGTAATGTAAAACCACCAGCGTGACCACGCAATGTGAACAGTTAAGCTAAGATGCATATGTTAATTATGCGATCTTCATCACTGCAGTATTTGGGAAATACAATGTATTCGTGACATTTTGTAACCCAGACCACTAATGCGACAGATGTGGTATGTGGGAAACATCGTCTCTACAGTTGGCCTGTACAAACACATACGTATTGATTTTGCTGCACTTCAAGTTTCAAATGATTTTTGAGATCCCTAGAGTAACTGTGTTCGATTTGAATGATGACAAGGTGTCTATACAACTAACACCCTCCATCTCGTTTACTGTATCCAGAAGACTGAGCATGTTTGTTAGGTAACGAGGTGTACCCTATTTATGGACTTGCCAAACTCAAAGCTTGTTTCCATACATCCAGTCTGGAGTGGAATACTTTAAAGTCACCATCTTTTGCAATGCAGTTGCGCATGCATTTCTCAATCAGCCAGACACGGATGCATTGCCTGTGCATTTTGAAGCTGAGTGGGTATGACCCATTGAAAAACGTATCTCCCATCCAAATGTCGCCCGGTCTTATTCCTTTTGGTTTACACTGAATATGGTGCGTGTAGATGGAGCAGTGAGTGGTGCAGCGCTTGTCACTCATTGTCCCTCTGTCGGCTCAGGTAACATGTGGTTTCCTATGGAGGCCAATTTGATAAATATCTCTGAAAACTGCTGCTGCGCTCCATGTGATTGAATTCGATAATTCACCATAGAACGGGACATTATTAGGTGACAATGCCTCTCTGTTTATCCGATTGACGTAGATGTGAGAATTGTACATGAGGATCTCCACAATGAAGACAAACGAGATTCCGCAACCGGGCTTGCGCTTAATCAACCAAACAGAATTTGCGCAGCGATTGTCGTCTAAACTAATGCACCCGTACTAGCTCACGCTGCGACGCTGAACTTTGTTTGTGACATAAGTCGAAGAAATATATGCAATCAAATTAGTGCACGCTATATTTGTTAGGCATTGTCCAAGTTTCTTGTGGTGAATGCAACAGATCCAAGAGAGAAAATAATCCATCCTAAAATTCTACTTAGAATTAATACAAAGGTCCTTTATCCGGTCAATGTTAACAGGCTATTAGACTACCCAGCCATTATATGATAATTCGAAACCATAAATACGTACCACTCAAATTAACTTAGTGGCTACCCCTAAGTCTATATATATCCACTTATATTCTTAACCATCTACTTACTTGGCAATAATCTGATAGTTGGCAATATTGATGGATTAGATTGCCCATTTTTATTAAGTGCATTTCCGTATCATGAATCCTTTCGAGGAAAAGGTTTTATAAAATGGTTACAATTTTTACTGCATAATATACTGCCCATCAAAGAAAGCATGGTTAGAACATAAATAAAGCATCCTTTGCAGCCACATTGTCTTGCAACATCCTTTATTTACTACTGCTGTGTAAAGTAACCTAATGCGGAATGTAATATATATTGCAAAATTACCAAGGACACTCATAAGACAGTACAGCCTTTGTATTCATGAAATCCTAAACGTGGTCAGGCGTTATGTAACTAATATCGCTTTCCAAGAAGGGTGACGCGAGAAAATATGATTCAGTAACATGAGCTAGTTTTAAACCACACGAAAATATAAATGCGGATGTCTTCATTAGCGAACGACTTTACTTCAATTTGTGTGACCTAATCTGCAATTCTTCTTGCACACAAGATTTAGGGATTACGCAAAATTATTAGTCTTGATAGATTAAAAAGAAGAGTATAACTTTGGGTTCTAATTGAACTTAATGGGGCCCATTGATGCCGGCTTCCGGCAGGGTATCTCAGATATGCACGGAATTCAGCAATTTTATACGTTTTATCTGTCGAAAACCCAGACAGTCATACGCTCTGATTAAATCTCTCACCGCATCATTGACCGAGAAGGCAATAGGTTACGAGAACGAGTCTTCATCTCAGAGGGAGTGCATGTGTTTGTTGTCAAGAACATTTGAGGTGCACAATTGACATGCTTTATCACCTGCGTTTATCAGCCGTTATATTTTGAGTGTTTTTTCAGGAAATGTAACAGCCAAACATTGTGAACATGAAGCTTTATCATAAAATTCGGACACAAAACCTGATTAAACTTTGATCAAATGAGTATTTGATAAAATGTAAGCATTTGGAATAGCACAAAACGTCTTCTAAAAATTACAATTTTTATTTAAGTAGTAAATCTAACTGGCATGAAAAGTAAACATATGGTAAAAACAGAAAATGCACATAGTTTTGCCAAATTATTCTGTGGCATGCTAGTGAAGCATGAAATATATATCCCACTGGGAAGTATACTAGTCCGACGTGTGCGCTGTAACCGAAGCACCCATTGTAGGAACAAATCAAATTTTTTCTGTGCTTTTTAGTGTTATATTTTGAAATCTAACCATATTTAAACTGCACGCGCAACATCTCCTTTAGAATCATAATATTTCGTTTATGGCTAAGACGAGTAATTCTCTCTATAAAAGGCACCGCACTGAAGGAAAGTGCAACCATATGTCTACCGAAACTTTCAAAGGAAGTCAAATATACCACAAACGTTGTTGAGTAGTTAATAAACTGCATTTTCGAGACTTACAAAATATCGCCCCAGGTTTATTCTGCTCGTATTTTGTTCTATTCATAAATTTCCCATGCTGTGATAGGGGCAGTTAGTGCGTGAAATTATTAACCGTCCTAGATGGAAGGCTCATTTATTATCGAATTTGTTGAATGATTCAATAATGCGATAAATTTGCTTCTATTGATGTGGTATGTATTCGAATTAAATAGACTCATCCAAACTAAGCAACTATTATCGTAAAGGATAAGTTGTGTTGGATATTGCGGATACCTACCAACGATTTACCACACACAATCGTTTGGACCTTCTACATCCTGTCTATTGTAGCTTGGCACTTACTCCATTTTAAGCTTCGGCGCAAAATTATTTTTACTATTATATTGGTTTGCAAATATAAATTAAGTGATATTCAACCCATTAAACAGGTCCCTGCGGTGATACGTGTAACCGCCAGATTTCGGTCAATCTATTAAAATTAAAAGTCAGCGTACCCGGTTTACGCTGGTTTACATATGATTCCGTTACTACGTTTTTAACAATCATTATAATGGTAGTTAAAATGGACCGGGAGGATTGTCCGCTTTTTTAGTTTCCCGTATTGTAAAAATTCCAGCTGCATTTTGTAAGTTATCAACTGCCTCTTGTTTGTGGTATTACATTATTAAAAAATGGGAGCTGATGTTAGCACAAAATCCTTAATCATACTGATATATTTGGAGGGTCAAGCTTGCATTACAAGTTGTGTAATTGGATTGCGACGTGCATTCTCAATGTGTTGGACTGTGATTCATATTGAAATGAACCTTAGTCACTGTGATCAATGGAAACGTACTAAAAGCAGATGGCAATTGAGTGTTCCTCAACCGAAAACACTGCTCAGTTTGCAGTAGTCTGCGGGTAAATGCAGGGGACTGCTTGGTACCAGGAGCTTTTAGTACATGAATGTTCCTGTGAATTCGGTCACCAACACCACCGTAAACGCAAATGCGTTGCATTCCAATACTCTTTTTAAAATAACTAAGTAAAGTTAACGTTTTATTTACAATTCAGCCTTCGGAGCGAAAGTCAGCATCTACAGATTCACATTTAAAGCTAGCTTGCCCAGCGGTCGAAAGAAAACTGTTCTCCTACGTTATTTGCCTCCAAACCTTTGGATATATCCTCACAGCGACCTACGTGCCATCATTCGATTTGGCTACGCGAGCTCCTCCTACCACTTTTCATTTATTGGATCTATCATTCACGGATCACCAGCAAACTGTGCTCTTGCAACTTCGAAGTCAATCGTATTTGAACCTTAGCGGAGCTTTTATTCTTCCTCTCGTCGCATAAGAACTCGTAGGGACTTATTTTGAAGACATTTTGTGAGTCAACCGATCAGCTTACTACCATTCCTTCAAGTTGCTCCACAAAGCGATAGTCGTCAAATTGATCGGCCCTTGGAACTGCCACTGTCGTCATTAGACAGTATTTTCTAAGGCACCTTGCTTTGCCCCAGTCCTACGTCGCTTCGCTGCCTACCCTCTACGGTCTGGATCGATAGCACGCACGTCGCCTATCTAACTAAAGAACGCGTGACTCATCTGGCCGCGACACGCCTGGAACCGCTGATATCAAACCAGCGATGGTCACCACGCAGCGGTGCGTCAGCATCTCTATATTCTTTCTACCCATTTTCTACCCCTAATGAAAACATGTCTCGTATGAAGAGCAAATGCGAATCATGTACTAAAGTAGTAAAAGCCGGTCTGATGCGTACTATGTGTAAAAATCCTATTACAATGCCTGCCTTGGGAAAGGGTCGATGCAAGCCGAAACCGTAGAGGAGTCTTGGTTTTGCCAACGGGGGGTGGGGGGGGGGGGGGGGGGGGGGGGGGGGGGGGGGGGGGGGGGGGGGGGGGGGGGGGGGGGGGGGGGGGGGGGGGGGGGGGGGGGGGGGGGGGGGGGGGGGGGGGGGGGGTGGGGGGGGGGGGGGGGGGGGGGGGGGGGGGGGGGGGGGGGGGGGGGGGGGGGGGGGGGGGGGGGGGGGGGGGGGGGGGGGGGGGGGGGGGGGGGGGGGGGGGGGGGGGGGGGGGGGGGGGGGGGGGGGGGGGGGGGGGGGGGGGGGGGGGGGGGGGTGGTGGGGGGGGGGGTGGGTGGGGGGGGGGGGGGGGGGGGGGGGGGGGGGGGGGGGGTGGGGGGGGGGGGGGGGGGGGGGGGGGGGGGGTGGGGGGGGGGGGGGGGGGGGGGGGGGGGGGTGGGGGGGGGGGGGGGGGGGGGGGGGGGGGGGGGGGGGGGGGGGGGGGGGGGGGGGGGGGGGGGGGGGGGGGGGGGGGGGGGGGGGGGGGGGGGGGGGGGGGGGGGGGGGGGGGGGGGGGGGGGGGGGGGGGGGGGGGGGGGGGGGGGGGGGGGGGGGGGGGGGGGGGGGGGGGGGGGGGGGGGGGGGGGGGGGGGTGGGGGGGGGGGGGGGGGGGGGGGGGGGGGGGGGGGGGGGGGGGGGGGGGGGGGGGGGGGGGGGGGGGGGGGGGGGGGGTGGGGGGGGGGGGGGGGGGGGGGGGGGGGGGGGGGGGGGGGGGGGGGGGGGGGGGGGGGGGGTGGGGGGGGGGGTGGGGGGGGGGGGGGGGGGGGGGGGGGGGGGGGGGGGTGGGGGGGGGGGGGGGGGGGGGGGGGGGGGGGGGGGGGGGGGGGGGGGGGGGGGGGGGGGGGGGGGGGGGGGGGGGGGGGGGGGGGGGGGGGGGGGGGGGGGGGGGGGGGGGGGGGGGGGGGGGGGGGGGGGGGGGGGGGGGGGGGGGGGGGGGGGGGGTGGGGGGGGGGGGGGGGGGGGGGGTGGGGGGGGGGGGGTGGGGGGGGGGGGGGGGGGGGGGGGGGGGGGGGGGGGGGGGGGGGGGGGGGGGGCTGGGTGTAGTTGTGTTGGGATTGGAGGGGGGATTTTTTGTTTTTTTTGTGGTGATTATGGTTGTGGGTTGTAATTTTGTGGTGAGCTTTTTTGGGGGTGGGTTGGGGTGTATTTTGGTGGTGGGGGGGGTTGGTGGTTTTGGTGGGGGGGGTGTTGGGTGGTTGTTGGGTGGGGGGTGGGGGGGGGGTTGGATCAGACAGCTTGAGTTGCCGCAACAGTAGGCATTGTTGAAAATGAAAAGCTTAGGATTCATTTGCATAAGGCTCGGTCAAGTCGCCAGAAAGTGGGGTATTCACACGGCCTACAACATTGCTGGGTGCAAATCTTGTCAATACAGCCCGCTTCATGGTGGTGACCAACCCAGGCCTAACAGCAGAGTACCACCGTATCAGGTACGCTACGGGCTCACGGAGGCGTGGTCTAGTTGTGTCGCTCTTGGAATAGTTCCAGTGAAAGTGGTCGGTTGGTTATGATCACTAGAAACCTATGCACTTCTCGACGATGGTTCGTATCCAACATATATTACCCAGGATCTCCATGGCCCCCTACGCTTGGAGCCACAGCTTTTGACATTGTTGATAATCATGATTTATGTAAGATGTAGTGTAGATAGCTCCGTGGTACAATTAAAAATGCTTCCCTAAACGGGCAAGAAGTGATTGTGGTGGAGCTTTTGTCCACAGTACATTGTTTGTCCTATTAAACCATTCCTTTATGGGACGCAAGCGGAGGCGCGCAGTTGGTCTCATCTGGTAGAACTCGACTTGGAAAAGAGACGCGACAAGCCTATTTCCTTTTGGTTGGTTGCGATGGTTCGGAAGCCCATTGGGTTTCAAAGCACTGACTTATTAATGTAATGAACAACACGCTACCAAAATCTTACTAGCCATATCGTGTTGGATCTCCCCTGATCCGCTATGCTTCTAGATGCATTCGTTAATGGTATTTTAGCGGCCAGTATTTCTATTGTTGACCAAGTTCAAATGTGTTACAAAGCTGATTTTGCAGACTTTGATGCCCTCGAATTATTGATGTCAATTGGTGGGTTGACGGTGGTTGCTAAGAGAGAAGCCTCGATGAGCTTGGCACATGAACAATAGTTTGCTCTGCTCCCTTATCGAGACAGTAGCGAGTTTATATTTAGTAACCGGATTATGGTCGAGAAACATCGTCCTACCTCGAACGTCTTCACTTGCGTGATGTTGAACATTTCTCCAAACATAGTCCAATGACTCGTTCTTGGAGAGGAAATATGCGATAAAACATTTGGCGTGCGCCGGCGAAGACTGGTCACTGAATTTGGTAACTACCTCATCACGCGGTAGTTATTTCAAAGATACCGCCCGACAACCAAGCGCACCTGCCTTTCTATGACGACCAGTTATACGTTAGAATAAACTTAGGTCTCAAACGAGAAGATGTCAGGATGGTGTGCCGCATAGTGGGCGATGAATAGCAGTGATTAAGTCCAGCTCGAAGTCTAGGGCGGTAATCGTGGAAATCAACTTTTTCAACACGCATTTCGATACCGAGAGCGCCCGCGTTTTGAGCTTGGTGGTAGTCATGTAAACGACTGTTTCCATGACGCCTTGAGTGGTTGCACTCTTTTACTTCTATTGCAGGCGCTCCTGTAGGCATAATTAGGACCGAGAGCCAAAGTGGTGCTGGTGACGTTGGAGATGCCAAGCGTAGAAGTACTTCTGTGGCCGTTTTATTGTGATTAACTGCGCAAGAAATTCTCCTGCCTTTTCTAGACTGACCCGAGGTCATATCTGTGCATGCGCGCGTTTGTGCGTGAAAAAGCAACAACGTGCTTTACTGTTTGTCGTCTGATTGATATCGATCGGTCATCATTGTGTGAACCTTTCTCTGCGCGTTACCTCGACTGGAGCCTGAAGACAAACCAGACACATTTTGTATGTGTAGGTATGCGTGTACAAGTGTCAAGTGTATGGCAGTGCATGCACTTGAGACCAGTTTCTGATTTTCTTGGGAGCACTACACGCGCAATTTCCTACTGCTATTGAGTACGTAAAGTCAAGTGTAAATTAATAGCACCCTGGCTGACGTAGTTCGTCGAGCAACTTTGGTGTATTTAGCACATCATCTCTCAAACACTGTAGGATTACTAAGCGACATTTAACCATTATTGATCATTTGCTTGTTTCCAAGTTCCATAGCACTCCACATTCCTCCGTCCATGTTCCCATCTCGCCTCAAACAAATTTTTCACCCCAACCCCCGAACGAGCCAAATTCAAACAAACCTCTGCCGTCGACTTAAAGAACAACACGTGGCCGCAGGCCAGCACGCCAAACACTAAAGGTTGGATGCTGGAATGTGCGCACACTGTCCAGTCGGGACACTAATGATTGATCTATGCGACGAACCGCATTAGTCGCCAGGGCGCTTGCGCAATATGACATTGAAGTCGCAGCACGGTGTGAGAGCAGACTGACTGATTTAGGTAAATTGCGACGGGTGGTGTTGCGTACACTTTCTGTTGGGTTGGATTTCCCGACGTGAAGAAGGCGTAGGATTTACAATTGCTGACCGCCTGCATAGCCGCTTAAAGGGGGAGCAGATTTGTAACAGCCGACGGTCGATGTCGCGCCTTAAGCGTCTCAGACGCAGTAAGTTCGATACATTTATTAACATGGCGTTCGCAGCATGTCAACTACGGGAAAAATGTCGTGAACGTAATCAACCGTTGCATTCACTGTTCGTTGACTTCACAAAAAATTTAGATACAGTGAACTGTGAGGTGTTGTGGCCGATTTTCTCAAAGTTTGGATGCCCTGCAAAGTTTATTATTCTGATTGATTGCCTGTATACTGGCATGCAAATATGGGTGCAACTGAGTGGACAGATTTCAGCTTTCTTTGTCATTATTTTTGGTGTGAAGCAAGGATGAGTCTTAGCCCACACACTCTTCAATATCTATCTAACGGCTGTGATGTCGTGCGCAGTCAACACGTGTGAATACGGTGTGCATCTGGAGCATCGCATGGATAGCGGTTTGCCTAACATCTGCTGATTTGGACCAAGAACCATAGTGCATGAGACAACAATCCGTATACTGCCGTTTGCTGACGACTATGCGTTGTTAACACTAACCGAAGAAGATCTGCAATGAATGACTACATTTGTTTCTACCGCAATCGAGTTTGGCCACAGCATAAACTTGGGCGACTGTATGCCCATTTCAGCCGGCACCGAGATTGCAGACCGTGGGTGGACCAGCAATATGCATGTAGATAAGTACTACGGAGAACGTCAGCATTCTGCTACCTCGAGATTACATTGTCAACCAACCTGCGGATCATCAGTGAACTGCGCGCTCCTGTAGCGAGAGGAAGTGCGGCTTTTGGGGAACTAGAATTTCGAGTGTGGAAAAATTGTCATCGCACTGTCAGAACCAAGGTAACGGTGTAAAAGTCATAGGTTATCTCCGTCCTTATCTGAGGATCGGAAACTTGGACACTGTGTAGAAATGTACTCGGATTCTGGAGAGATTCGATCAACTATGCCTTCGCCGGATTCTTCACATCCACTGGAACGACAATGTGCCGGACACTTATGTGATCCGGCAGAGAGAATTGTGCACCGTGAACTCCATGCTACTGCTGTGACACCTCCGGTGGCTTAGCAAGGGCGCCTTATGAATGCAATGAGTATTCCGAAGCAACTGCTCTACGGCAGCTGAGCGCAGGCTGCCGGAATGAAAGCAACTAATGTTGAGCTACCAACACAACATCAAGGTTGGTTTGTCCAGAGTAAGTATTGACTTTAATGTTACAAAGAGACAACAACACATCGCCGCATCTGGTGTGACCTCATCACCTGTACCGTTGCGCGATCGCAAGAAAGACAACTGGTGCATCGGGAAATTAAACGTGCAGCACGCCAGCATAATCTGCCAAGGGACTACAGTGCTTCGGCTACTGCCACATGGAACTGTAATGTATGCGGCCGTGTGTGACTTAGCCCAGCCGGTCAGATCAGTCATCAAGGAGGCCACGATGGACTATGCCAAACAGGTCGAGCACCACCGACAGACATAGACATTGGTGTTAAGCAACTGATAAATGACGGTGCACGTTAAATCGTCTAAATATTATGGAGATGGTGAGTCAGGATGGAACTCCAGGTCGCTCGCAACATCGGACAGGCGGACTTTTGCACTGACACCGAACTAATTCACCGAGTGTTGCAGCGCAGCGACAAAAACCCATAGTTTCTGCAAAGAAACTGTCGCACCGTATTTGCCCTACTGGTAATCAGAAAACAAAGCCCACATACGAGTTTTCTATGCTGAAGTTTGATGTTGCATATACCATGCTTTCTCATCGCATTTGGGCTACACTGACTTACCTCATTTTATCTTATTTTACCGTATTTTACCATGATCAATGCCTTCAAACAATTTATCTATTACAATATGCAAAAGCAACGCTTCTTTGCTTTGGTGACAAAGTGGCAAGCTTATGGACATGTCCAAGTTGGATCATGCATTCAAAGATAAATCACTCCGGAACATCAATAGAAAGTGAACAATCACGGATACTAACTGACTAGCACTTAACATTCTCATGTTGATGTGTCATGCTTTTTCACATTAACTCTGTTAGAATGACTGAAGCTGTAATTTTCGTTCTAAATCCGACAAAACTTAGTTTAGCTAATGAAAATCAGCTGACCCCAGCACACCATTTCCTGGCAAACCTACAAAGTGTCCTAATCACGCTGTGTCATGTTTGCGTACTATCCTTATTCCAGCGCTAATGCAAGTCTCGCTTGGGTACAGTTTTTATCTAGAATGAGTAACTACTTACTTGGTGCATTGCAATAGCAATATTACGCCTGTCTAAGAGGCACGTACTAGAAGTTGTATTGGAAATGGGCAATCACTTGTGTTGATTAAGATAAAGTTAATTCTAACGGTACTGTTACGTCAGTGTCTTTGTACGTTACATCGAAAAGAAATCGGTGCATAGCGACGATTGTTC